CATTACCTTTCTCCACTTGGTGATCCAGACATCCCATTAGAGTTACAGAAAGCATTAAGGCATGTACCACACATTAGAGGGGAAACTGTGTACCACAAATGTTAAAGCAAAAGCATGACATTTTATTATAAAGAGTGTGAGGCAGTGTCAGTTATCCGAGTACCAATCTTCAGTAAAGCCTTTAAGCTTCTTAGAGAATGATTTGTGCACTCCTTAATTTAGAATTGGCAAGTTTTGATATTTGCTTGCAGACTTGCAGCCTACAGTAAAAAGAAGTGTTAGTATAAACAAGCCCTGTGTCTTTCATTAGTAATAAAAAGTTTATTTAAAATGTATTAAAAATTACTGAAAAATAATTAACAGTGAAATTTTAAGCCTTATATTGTTCCCATTCAAGCAAGGGGATTCCACTCAAAACTCATCCCAAAAAGAAGAGAAGAATGATAAATACTCAAGATAACTTACCATGCTCAGGTGTCCTGTTAATTTTGCAGTAAATGGCATGTTATGCATGTATGATATCAAAATGTGGTTAAAAACAGCTTCCCAAGATTAGTGTTATTGTGCTCGTGGTATAACAAACAAATTTTACCACAATCGCTTTATGAAGAATGGGTTAGAATCATAATCCCCAAGTTTGTCAATGGGTTTTCAAGAGTTTCGCAGGTGCTCCACCAGCTGGTGTTTAAGCAAAGAAACTGGCATTCATACCAGAAGCTATGCGCCGTAAAATATTGAGAAAGCGCTCATCAAATGGGTGGAGATAATTGTAAAAAATATGGGATGGGCACTTTGCAGGTTCCAGCACTGAAAGTCAGAACGGTGCAGGAGCAGTGTTGTAGTCTGGTGGGACCCCCATTTTCTTAAAGCAGTTGCACCGCTTGCATCCAGCCAGCTTTGTGCTGGCACTCTCATGTGAAGCTTCATTGCTTCTTACCGGAGTGAGCATGGAAAGCTTCACCGCTCTGCACCAGCGCACTGGGAAATGTGGTTGATGCGGAGGAGCACTTTGTTTCATTCAATACATTCAGAAGTTTACTGGCCTGGGTGCTTGATATGTTCTTAATCACTTTTTAAATTTTCAAAAGTGGGGTGGACACCTATTGCGATATGAGCACATGCTTATCATTTTATGGCACATGGAATGGCAGAGATAAAAAAGTAAGGCAAATATTTTGCCTATCACAATGGCGGGTAGTAGAAATGCATCGAAATGATGTGTTATGCGTCACGGAAAGTTAAAAACATGAATGGTTAGTAGTGACTACTGCTGCATTAGAAGGAAGAAGGAAGTGCAGAAAGGAAGGCAAAGAAGTTAACTTGGGGCATTTTATGCTGCATCAGGTAAGTTATAGTAAAGTTTATAAAACACAACATTTTAGAGACAACATGCCTCCTATAATTTATACAATTTTCGTCATGGCAACATACCCCCCCCCCCATACACATCCCACACATTTAAAACGCTATTGCATGCCATTATAAATAGGGTGCTATGGCAACTATTTCGGCATCTCTCTTGACTTGTAACATAGCAGGCATTGTAACATATCACGGCACAGGCAAGACCGTGAATTTCAAACATTACTAAATCTTAGGCGCAGGAAGACCGAAAGGAGAAGACACAAAAAAAAAAGAGTGACAACACTGAACGGGATGGTGTGTGTGTTGTACTTCTTTTTTTTAATCTCCTCTCTGTCCCCTTGCATCTTAGGTTTACTGATGCTATGACATGTTCCAATCAATATATCAAGACTTAATCATTTCTAAATTGAGAAAAATAACATGCAAAGCATACTGCAAGATCATAGGCGTGCACAGGGTCCTCCTATAGGGGGGGCCAAATTCACTGCAGCGCCCCCCCCTTCCCCTCACCCCCGTCTCACCGAGACCCTTACGCCGTAGGGGTAAGGTGTTCTAGTGTACCCTAGTAGGAGTGCACTAGAACACCATATTTTAACCGCGAAATATGACTTCCAAGTTTACTTCAGTGTCACTATAAAACTACCCTTCAGTTTACTTTCCCGCAGATTACTTGGAAGTCTAATTATTGCGGTCTACGAATGGAGCCCGGAGACTGATAAGGCTTGAAATGTGTTTGAACCTAAAAATTAAATCTGAGCTGTGACACCGAACATGACGTAATGCCACAAAACGTCATACTTGCCACTGTTACGTGTCATCGTATCCATATCCTCGTAGACCGCAGTAATTGGATTTGCGAGTGCTCTGCGTGAAAGTGGACTTACATGCGCTTTGAAGTGTGGGAGAAATAAGAAGATGAGATAACTTTTCTAACAACAAAAACGATTTATTGCCAAACAAAAAAGGAGACCCCCACGATAAAGAAACCACAGCTTGCACTCGTAGGGCATAAGCGCCATCACAAAAGACAGAAAGAAAATGAATTGCACGAGGGCTCAGACAATACACAAGTTCAGTTCACAAACGATACTGTAAAAAAAATTTAACACAACACAACAACAGGGCTGGTGCAAATGAAAACAGTAACACACAGTAAAATTAACTACACTATACAAAAGTACTATTCAAGCTGAGCTGTGCAAAAATACTTTTGGTGCGAGAGGCGAACCTTAGTTCGGACGGAATCGGCTGTAAAGCACCCTCTTCCGCCGGCTGTCAACCAATTAAGGATAAAGTAGAATTATGTGACATTGTAGGTTAATGCGAGAGCATATCCTGCGAAATTAAAACACATTCATAACAAAAGTTTGCGCGTTTTAGTCGTAAAATGCTTTAAGATATTATCAAAACTGATGGATGTTGCTAGGTCCTGCTCCACAAAGGGCAGCATCAGCCAACGAAGCCGTTCCTGCGACATCATGGATCTTAACTTGGTCTTTACATGTGCGGGCTTCGAAAATGTCCTTTCGCACGAGCAACTGGTTACAGGAATCGTGGAAAAAAGTTGAAGAGCGCGAGAAAAGTCCTTGAATACTGACTTGTCCAACCCATTTTCTTTAAGTGAATCCAGCCAGTCATAGGCGGACATGCTGTTTGTTTTTTCGTCGCTGGTTCGGGACTTCAGGAGTTGCATTTCAGCACTTAAGCTGTCGGGATCTACCTCAAAAAGCTACAAATAATAGATATTTGTTCGTCGCTCACAGAGAGGCCCAAAGGGTTCTGGAGAGCACACACAAGCTCAAAAGTTTCTTGTGTGAACCTTTCCTCGATCCCTCGAACACAGGAGTCAAGCATCGGAAAGAAAACACTGACACGAAATTCCTCCTCTTTTGTCGCATAGAAACATTCATTCGCCAGTTTTGGTCAAATCGCTTCGATATCTTTCTTCTTCGAACTTCGGGAATCTCGATTTCATTCATCTCGCAGATCGAAGAAGCTTCCGCAAACATCTTTTTAAAGACTGTCCCATCTTGCCTCATCTCTCGCAGCGCTTTTTGCAGATGCCTGACTTCATTGAGTGCAGTGGTAAGGTTAATTTTAGGGTCCTGAAGAGCTCGGCTAGCCTTCAAAATAAGCTGTAGAATAGGGTGAGCTATTTCCATGCTGCAGACAAAGTCAAAGCTCATCACCTGGGAAAGGAGTCCCTTGCCTTTTGCTTTCGTCTCCGGGTGCTTTGTGGAGTCCACAATCGTTCTTACTGCACTCGACAGTTCGCTGTAGCTCTTGCAGCGAACTGGCCTTTACTGCTTCAGCACGACGTGCCCATCTGGTTGTAGACAAAGACTTCAAAGTTTTCAGCTGTGTGCCGACAGTTTGGAAAATTCGCTCAAAAACAGCATGGCGCACAACACTGTTTTCAATAAAGTTGTACGCAAGTTGCACAACGCCAAAGAAATCAAACATCATTCTGTTTTCTGCTCAAGACAAGCATGCATCGACAAGCACCAGGTTTAAGCTGTGGGCATAGCAGTGAACGTAGACGAGCTTGTTGTTCTGCTCTTTGCACTTTGCTTGAACGCCAGCAACGTGCCCTGACATAGTAGAAGCCCCGTCAAAGCAGACGGAACTCACAGAATTCCAGGAAACATTGATGGTGTTGAGAACTGCTTGCAATGTGGAAAACACAGTCGCTGTCTAAATTTTTAAGCCTGTCGAGAGTAAGGAAGACCTCCACTGGCCTGTTCTTAATTTCGCAGAAGTACCTAATAACAACGGAGAGTTGTTCATGATGACTGCAGTCACTTGTTTCGTCGCACATGAGCGAGACTGTTTTACCTTCTATGCGGTGGACAATCGAAGAAAAAATGGCTGCATGCAGTGACTCTAGGATGTCATTTTGTATTCTGTTGCTGATGTAGAAGGCGTTTTTTGGGCCTGACTCTAAGTGGCCCCGCAAAAGCGGGGTCGTACTTCTTTAAGATGTTAACTATCTCTAAATATAGACCTTGCTCTGCGCTTTCCTTATTTTCACTGTGCCCTCTGAATGGCCTTCCTCCCTTTGAGAGAAGAACAACGATGTCAGTAAGGCGCTTTAGCACCTCACGATTTTGTTTTCGTTTTTCTTCAACTTGAGACGCTCGTCGTTCAAAGCTTTCATCCAGCATTGAAGCAATCAATCTGTTTGCTTTGGAGCAATTCCATGACACAACACTGTTAAGATGGCCCTCAGACCTTTCATGCTGATTAAACCTTTCTATCGCTTTCTTCCAAGTTCGAAACCCAGTTGAAACAAAGGATGGGTCTAAATGTGCTTTGGTACCACTGCCCGGCGGAAACGCCCGACAACAAAAGCAAAAGGCTGCATCTTTTGCTGGACTGTATTCAAGCCAGCTGAACTTTGCAAACCAGTGTTCACAAAAGCTGCGCTTTCGATTATTCGTTTCTGTTTGGGCATAGCTGCCCAGATGAGGCTGAAAAGGACCCCGTGCTTGCCTGGCTTGCTTGTCCAGGTCGTTAGTCGGCATTGGCAGCGACGGGTCGTCGTCAGACATTTGGTTCTGGTTGGTGGAAAGCGTTGAGCAAAATCTCGGAGGCTCATCTGGTGCATCAGCGATGTGGCTTGGCGTCGTGGCACAGCTCGGCGTTGGCACACAATTTGGCGTCGTGGCACAGCATGGTGAAGTGGCACAGTCGTCAGTTTGCTGGTGGCTGGACATCTCTTCCGGTTCATTTTGTTCATGCTGCTCTTTGCAGCTTGTTGACTGTGCTGCAAACAAATAAGAGAAGTATAACTTTTTAGTTTTCTTTTTACCTGTTAACATGGCTCTTAGAACACGCTCGAAAAGAAGTCTGAGTAAAAAATTACAGAACCAACTGCGCCAATAATAAATATATATTTTTGGAAATTTTACGACAGCTTTCTCATCGACAGCTCAGCATAGTCTCTCCAAGCTAACAACAGCAACCGCTGCTCGGAGGCGAGCCAAACACGGCCTGCTGATTGTGTTTTCTACGTTTTAACGTAAACAACCTTTTTGAAAAAACTAGGTTGCTAAAAAGCAAGTTTTTTTTTTTTATGTCGGTGATGTCAGTCGCGCTAGAGTTACTAGTCTGGCCGAGGAGCACTACCTTCTTTGTTCATCGCGACAAAAGTTTGCGCCCTTCTCGTATAGTTAATAATTTCTAGAGAGATAATCCTGCACAGAGCGTATACACGACTCAAACATTTTAAGACTGCGTTTTATTAATGGTGAGCACTGGCGCTGGGCACGGAAATGCCCAGAGTTGCTGAGTACGTCAGTGAAGACAGACGGGGCTCTAATAGAAACGTTGCTAAATTCGGTAGGCACGTTTTCCTTTGTGAGGACTTAAACATTCGTGAGTGGGTGCGTCTCTCACTCTCACTGTTGCCTTCGTTCATGAGGCACTTCATTCGCCTCAACAAGATCAGTCATTTTGCTCAACGGGGTCCTGTTGTGGTGCCACGCTATCGTCTACGAACAGACTTCATAGGATGATACCGACACGTGCTGCTATATAGAGACTTTTAATGAAAAGGATATGAATAATTTAACCAACTAAACTGAGATCTGGAATGAATGAATTCAACAACGAAGAAAAATACTACAAGGTCAGTTTTAACGAAGAAAGGGTAAAAGCACAGGCGAGCTGGTGAAGAACTTCCATCGTAAACCGGAGACACGGAAAAATAAAAAAACGGACAAAACAACAACAAGTCTCAAACACAGCTTCTAGTTTATTTGAACACCTCCGCTCTTATATATACACAACAACCCTCCTCTCCAAAGGTCGACACACCTCCTCTCCACTCCATCAACGACATCTCAAACTGAACCAATGACACATGCTACCTCCCTTCCTTTCATACCAACCAAAAACTGACCCCTTTCCAATCCAAGAAACAGGCACTCAAACCCTGCTAACAATGAAAACACCCCCCCCCCCCACAAAAAAAAAAAAAAGATAAGTTTTACGGAACCGACCAGCCACAACTGATAACAGGCCTATCGAACAGACACAATGTTAGCATTCAACCACCCCTCAAAAAAAAAAAAAAAAAATTAAAGACATAGAAAGCGTTTCAGTTCACTTCCGAAACCCAAGGACGGTGTGCTGACACAATTGCCACGCTCCAAAATACATAAAGTCTCCCTCACAACTCTCCTACCATTTTCTTTCTCTTTATGCAATACCTGGGTATCCCCCCACTCAGGCTGACAGTGATTGCAGTCTACAACATGTTTAGCTATTTCTGAATTCTGCGCATTGTCTTTTACCGCCCTTTTATGTTCCAGCAACCTATCATTCAAACAGCGACCAGTTTGGCCTACATAAGAGAATCCACACCGCAACGGAATGTCGTATACAACTCCTACTTGACAAGTTAAATCAGGGTTTTGGTGTTTCTTTAGGCAACCCTGACGACCACCCGAAAAGGGGGTTAAGCTTTCCAATTTATGTTGTGCCTTGAAAACTAAATTTACTCCGAACCTCTTGGCCACTGACTTCAAATTATGAGATATTCCATGATAGTAAGGCACACAGACCACATTTTTCACAACCGGTTTTTCTACCGGAGCCGAACTGAACTTTCTTAACACCTTGAGCATAACGCTAGAAATCACATCCTGGTGATGGCCCGCTTCCACAAGACGCAACTTTTGCAACCCTATTGCCTCTCCAACGTGATGTACACATGACTTCTTACACGCGTTATCTACCACAGACGCGATTACACCCCTCTTGACTAACTTCGAGTGGCAGCTGTCAGCAGCCAACAAAGGTTTTGCCGATTCCTTACCAAACCTCCAACACAAGCCCTTTTGTGTGTGTAGTAGGAGGTCTAGATACTGAATCCTGCCCTGAAGAGTGCTTCCTTCCGTGAACGTCAAATCGTGGCACTTTTCTATTATACACTTCTTAACCGTCCCTGCTAACCCTTCCTCAAAAGAACAAATCAAAATGTCGTCTACATAGCGACGAACTACAACAGCTCCACTCGGCAAAGACCGCACAAACGCGTCGACATAAACATCCATTTCATTTAAAAAAATCTCTGATAACACTGGCGCAATTGAAGACCCGATGCACACTCCCTCTTTTTGGATAAAAAGAGCACCTTCAAAGTCTATAACAGTGGACCCCAAATAAAACTCCAGAATGCTCATAAAGCTATCCACATCAATTCCAGAGGAAGACTGAAATTTTACTAGATGGTCATCACACCACCCCCTGACCCTCCTCAAAAGCTCCGACTTATTCATAGAATAATAAAGATCCTTGATGTCTAAGGTTATTACTTCGCAGCTTCTCCCATGATGGGGATTCAGTATTTCTATTAATTGCTCAGAGTTTCTCAATGATAACGGGCTATCGACCTCCACTCCAGTTAGACACTTTTGTATAAAAACCGACAACACCCTCTGCCAAGCACCATTTTCGTTCACAACTACTCTCAACGGGAAGCCAGGCTTGTGGTCCTTCAACAAAAATTTCAGTCTTAAGGTAGCCTGTGAAACCTCCCCTAGCCTCTTTACCACCGTCTGAAAGTCACACTCCTTAAGTACAGCTACCACATTCCTTTTCGCTTTCTTGAGGTCCCCAACATACGGCTTAAAAAGTTTATCAACCGCTTCAGCTGCCTTTGCTCTAAACATGTCATTTCCTAGGACAGCAAACCTCCCTGATTTGTCCGTCTGAAGTAAAGTAAGCTCTTTCTGTTCTAAGTCCTTCTTTACATCCCTGAACATCTTACAGGATACCTTATCCCTCGAAAAAGTCTGATCCACTATCCTTGAGACCTTCCTTATTGATTCATCAATAAAAACTTTTTTCTTGTCCTGATCAGAAATTTTCTTCGTGATTTCAAGCACATCAGATACTATATCCACCTTAGATGGCTTCACGTTAACGGAGAACTTCGGTCCCTTCCCCAGACATGCTTCTGTCTTTTTATCTAGCTGCTTTCCCGACAAGTTGAAAGGCATTCCTTGGCGATTAATTCTAACATTCGTTGCCTCACATGCAGTTCGCTTTGACACGGAAATTATAGCTTTCCTTCTGCTCCCACTCCATAGCGCCTCCCTTTTTGACGACAACAATCGCAGCCAGGTTGAATACTCAATAGTATTGCCATAACTTTCCCCACGTGTTAATGTCCAAATAGTGTCACACACCTTCCAAGCTTGCTTGAGTTGGTCCTGTAGAGAGTTCCTGTAGGCCGTCAGAACTTTTTTCTTGGTCGTCCAATCACAAGTCAATGAAGAGAGGTAGGGCCATCTTGAGTCTTCGATGTACCTTTCTCTTGAGCAGAAGCCCAGAAAACACCAATCCGCCTCAAGCTCCGCCATCCGCTGTCCCAACTTGCAAAGAACTAGGAAGCTGTATACTTCCACAGAAGACGAGGGCAGTGACGATAAAAACAGAGACGAACACACTTCTAGGCCTGCATCAGGGAGAATTAACGAAGAAAGGGTAAAAGCACAGGCGAGCTGGTGAAGAACTTCCATCGTAAACCGGAGACACGGAAAAATAAAAAAACGGACAAAACAACAACAAGTCTCAAACACAGCTTCTAGTTTATTTGAACACCTCCGCTCTTATATATACACAACAACCCTCCTCTCCAAAGGTCGACACACCTCCTCTCCACTCCATCAACGACATCTCAAACTGAACCAATGACACATGCTACCTCCCTTCCTTTCATACCAACCAAAAACTGACCCCTTTCCAATCCAAGAAACAGGCACTCAAACCCTGCTAACAATGAAAACACCCCCCCCCCCCCACAAAAAAAAAAAGATAAGTTTTACGGAACCGACCAGCCACAACTGATAACAGGCCTATCGAACAGACACAATGTTAGCATTCAACCACCCCTCAAAAAAAAAAAAAAAAAAAAAATTAAAGACATAGAAAGCGTTTCAGTTCACTTCCGAAACCCAAGGACGGTGTGCTGACACAATTGCCACGCTCCAAAATACATAAAGTCTCCCTCACAACTCTCCTACCATTTTCTTTCTCTTTATGCAATACCTGGGTATCCCCCCACTCAGGCTGACAGTGATTGCAGTCTACAACATGTTTAGCTATTTCTGAATTCTGCGCATTGTCTTTTACCGCCCTTTTATGTTCCAGCAACCTATCATTCAAACAGCGACCAGTTTGGCCTTGTACTCCCATACATACGACTGTATGTATGGGAGTACAAGGCTGCTAGAGTGCAAGCTGCAGTGTGCTTTATTCTGAAATCCTTTCTTTTTTTTTTCCTGGGGAAACGGGGAAAGGGGCGAAAAGGGGGGGGGTGTCCCCTTACGAGGGACCCGCGAGCCGCACTTGGACCACCCAAGAGCCGCATGCGGCTCGCGAGCCGCGGTTTGGCCACCCCTGATCTATAGCATGCAAGCTGCCTGCCTCAAATGTTTCAGCTATTGGCTCCATTCAACCACCTGCTCCGGAAAAATGTGAAATAGAGGTGTGTATTAAAGGAAGACGACGGCTTTAACAAGGCAAAGCAGACACTGCTGCGTCAGGCTCCTGGTGTATCGCAACCACACTGAGGAACTCATCCTGAATGTGCCACACCTCCAGAGGCAGTTGGACCAGTGTCGTCACACAACATCCACGGAGTCAAAAGGCCCATAGGAGGTTAACCTTCTTCCAAGAATTCCATGACACACGCATGGGTATCAACGCAATGAGGTAAGGCAATGGTTGATGCCGTACAACCTTGAACAATATGCCAACAGGCTGCATTCATGCCACCAGAAGCAGAGCCACAAGCTTGGCCAGAACCCACGGCTTTATGGACAAGAATTTACATGGACTGCACTGCACCTATCGAAGGTAAAACGGTGCTAATTGTGGTAAACAGTTACCAAGATCGAAAGAAACCACTGGCATCAGCAGCCAGCCAACTCCACTGCAACAGTCGAATATCTGAGGAACACGGTCGCCTGGTTAGGACTTCCTGTTTGCTTGGTGTCCAATAATGGAACACCATTCCCCGGCACGCTGTTTACCGACTTCATTACTCAGAATGGAATTGGCCACCTAAGGACTGCACCTAACTATCCACAGTCAAACAGACTTCCCGAGAGAGCTGTCAGAACGATCAAGGACAGTCTAAAGAAACTCTCGGGTGGTTCTTTGGCTGCATACTTGCCAAGATGGCTCCTTGTGTACCGTCGCACACCGCCTACCACAGGAGGACAATCTCCAACAGAGCTCGTGTTCAACTTTTGTCCTAGAGTTTGCTGCATGAACCTCATCACTGAGACCCAGGAGCTAAAGGTAGACCTGGAAAGACCTAGCAAGCTCAAAGAAAGCAGCCCTGTTATTGAAAGAAACATGGGAGCTGTAGAACAATGGGGACCAAGATCATCTTCCAGGTTGTCGAAAACTGCATGACTTTGGTAAAATCCACCATGGCACAATGAAGCACCACCTAGGCCAGTTGTGCCCCAGACGCTTTAACTCAACTCATTTGTAGTCAGATGATGAAATTACCACTGGGCACTAACTTGATTGGCAGTTAACAAGTGAAAAAACCAGGCTATGGACCAGGAACTGAGCAGGCATTTTAAGCAGTGCAAGGATGCCCCACTCAGGCACGGGCGACACCAACCAAGATGAACCTTTAGCTTGTGCGGCAAAGTGTTGGATCAGGCCACCACCAGGGGTCAGTGTTTTTGGGGGCTTCCCTGTGCAACGGCCATGGGCTTTCTCTCTTTTCCCACACTTTCCAGTGACCATGTAACAAACATGTATGACACGGCCATGTCAATTATTCCCTAATGAACAAATAGGTATGATCTTTGCACTCCATGGATGAAGCAGCCACCAACAATTTCAACATTGGCCTGTATGGAGTCAAAAAACAAGGAAATAAAGGAACTTCTGACACACAACTATTCTTGATGCATGCACACAATAGACTACTTCCATAAAGCCCTGCATCCAACACGGCGCGCGTTGCACTCTGGGAACTAGTTGGCCAGGGAGGAGAGTGGCATGGTTTCGGTTTCAATCGACACGTCGACCAGAGATTACACACAGAGCGTGGACTATAAACGGCCATTATCTCATGTTTTCTGGTCCCGAGAGCGTCATTTGTGGTCTATAAACTAACCTAAATGGCCAGACCTCGAAGCTTTAGCACAAGCCCGAGACGTATATAGCTTCTCTTAACACATGCTTGTTCTATTTTTGTACTTGAGCCTTTTTGTTAGCGTTTCGAGGTATCTGGACGAGCCAGTGCTGGGAATCTCGACGCTGCGAAGCTCGGGGATCTTGCTTATGTATGAATCAACAGGCTGTAGCAACCAATAAGTATGCATACATCAAGCTCGCGCCTTTACATTATATGTTGTTGATCAGGAAGTTTGTTCGTTTCGTGCGTCCATAGAAGAAATATTACTTTTTGCAATTACTGTTTTCTTAATACGCCTGTGTACGCGAAGTAAAACTCGGAGGTGCCATTGAAAAGCTCAATTATAACTAGGGTGTGTACTTTCCGGTGTTTATTTGTGAGAAAAATCGGCGGATGTTTTTCGGTGCTTATTTATTTTCAAAACACCGGTGTGTTTCGGTGGAATGCCTCACGACGAGGCTAAAAACGGTGATTATCGGTGAAAAAAAAAGCGATTGATCACAGACAGAGAGTTCCAGTTTTATTCACATAGTTCACACACTTCTTCTCTAGGAAGCAACTATTTCTCACACTTGGTTATTATAGTAGATGCAAGCATACTTTCATGCTTGCATCTACACGCAAGGAACGTGCTGCCGTCATGGCAGCACGTTCCTTGCGGTTCGCAACCCGCAATTATGAAAACGCACGCTCCTGTACGACACGGACGTTGGCAGTGTCTTCCAGGAACCACAGCAACCTCTGAATACATGGCTTGCACCAACATCACTTGGCCAGACACAATGAGGAAGAGGCACGTGAGAGCCTACCCTCCACTGTGTTAATTTTTCCACAAAAGGGGGCCATGGGAGACACAATAGGGGAAAGGCATATGAGAGCTTAGCTTCCACTGCGTTCACTAGACGCTTTTGACCCCCAGAAAGGAGGGCGGACTGGCGCCACCTGCAAGCCATGTATAAACACTGGAAGAATGCAGGATCCACGAGATAACACGTTCGACGAACCTCTAAGGGGAAAGGGTTTCGCTAGGTCGGAAACTAGCAACGCCCGGTGTTTTTCGGTTTTAACCAGGGCGAAAATATCCAACCACCGGTGTTTTTCGGTTTTAACCGATTTTATATTTTCGTCACCGACGGATGTTTATCGGTGTTTTTCGGTTAAAACCGGAGAATGCACACCCTAATTATAACACACTTCTTATCTCTTATCAGTACTGACCCGCAGCACTGCACGAAACGAAGTCCCCACCCACTTGCATTTTACTAATATTCAACATCGCGTATGCACGTAAAGTTATCCTCCAATCGTATAGGCACATTCGCGCATACAAACCGTTTTAAGAAAGCAAAAGTCGAGCACTTGTGTGAAAAATGTTGCACCATTCGCCAGAAGTACGCCGGACGGGTATGAACCCCTGTGCGGTGCGCCAAACGAACGAAATTATTCAAAGTGCATTTGACGGTTGCTAATGGCCATAATATTTGTCATGTGTTAGCTTTTTTCCTGCCTGAGTATGCCGCGATAATTTCGGACACACCGTTCAGGCACAGATCTTGGGCGTCAGTAAAAGCTCGTCCAAAAAGGCTTAGCGAGGAGTAGGGGACGCTTGTTAGGGCCTCCGTCGTAGCTAGCCCATCTCCGCGTTTGCGAAAACTTAATCGTCTATCAGCATAAAATTTGAGTGGGAGATATATGATGACACGAGGAAGACATCATAGTAACTTTGGTGCAGTAGTGAGGTTGAATTTATTGCGTTTCCTTAAAAGTTTACGCGTCAACGCTGGACTCAACTTTGATACTCCTGTGAGGATGCGGCTTGCTTTTCGCCCAATGAAGTAACAAGAAGCGGACATTTGGCAAACAAAATATGTGTAATGCTCCAGGTGACCGAATTTCACTTGTAGTTCAATGGTACTAGACGGGATTATTGAAATAGAACTCAAAGATGATGTGACTAAGCCACGTCCTACTACGTTTGCAATTCTCAGGCCAACCCATGGACATGGGTTGACCTGGGAATTGAAGAATGAAGATCCAAGAAAGAAGAAAAGATGAAGACGCGATGACTTATACCTGTGCTGGTGTGTTTTAATGTACTCGTGTGTTTTAATTTGATATGTTGACCTGAGAATTGAAGAATGAAGATCCAAGAAAGAAGAAAAGATGAAGACGCAATGACTTATACTTGTGCTGGTGTGTTTTAATGTACTCGTGTGTTTTAATTTGATATGTTGCGTGCTTAATGGCGAATGACTGGAAGAGGAAAAAGAAGAAGCCGACCTCGCGTTAATTTCTATGTATGTGTTCTGAATAGACAGTTGATAGTCAGCGCCTCGTCCTGTGTGTTCCTCCTTCTTGTCCGTGTGGTATTCGCGCCGTTTTTCCAAATGAATCTGCTCAATCGAAACCGAAACTGAGTGGCCAACTAGTTCCCAGAATGCACTGCATGGTATTTCGCCGCAATGGGGCGCGTCGGTTTTGGAAGAAGTCCATTGGCCAGCAGTCTCCTTGCAACATCCTGGACACAGCAACAAAACCCAGCCCTTGCACCTGTTACACTGAGTACGAGCGTCTGACAAAAACTAACTCACGGAAAGGAAATGGCGGCAGTTAGGTCTACTGCAAACGAACTAACACACAGATACCTGACAATAATTAAGTCTGCAACTACAATGAAATAAAATGAGACAGACCCAAAAGCTGCAACCGATGACCATGGAGGGGACATGGGTCTCGTGCCTCTGCAAGAAAAAACACAGAAACTGCAAAATTAAAATAGGCAAGGGGATAAACCAAAAGGGTCGGAGGCAAAGCATAGGCTCCCAGAAGCGTAAAGGTGCTGCACGGTGAAGGCTCACATGGAAAGCTCATGAAGTAAAGGGATGGCTTGCAAATGTCTTAAGCAAGTGCAGAAGTGAAAAACTTGAGGATACAGAGAGAGTGCATATTTCGAGGTGTGCGAATGACACGAGGAAAGCGAACAGGAGAATGACAGGGGAAAAGACAAGCTAACATGGGCAGGAAGTCTCTGCACAGGCTTTCATGCAAGACACCAGAAAGGAAAGTGTAGGCTACAAACATCCACATGAAGCAAAAAGGGATGAGTGAAACATAAGCAGTGCACAGCACAAGAAGGAGGACAAGAAAAAAAAAACATGATACAGAAGAGCAAGTTTGCATGACAGCGAAAGCTTCATATTAGGCCTACACGCAGAGCAGAAGAAAAAGTGCTCCCCACAAAGAACCGTAGCAAGCGTAAAAAAATTCAGAGGCTTCATGCAGCCATACGCACAGAGCACAATAAAAAGAAAAGCTTGCCACAAACATCTGAAGCAAGCGTAAAAGTAAAAGAATATTCTGGGACTTCACTCAGGCTTACATGCAGAGCATAAGAAAAAGCAAGCTTCCCACAAAGAGCTGAAGAAAGTGTGAAAAAAATTTAGATGCTTCACGCAAACTTACACGCAGAGCACAAGAAAAAGAAAGGATTCCCACAAACATCTGAAGCAAGCATGAAAAAAATCCAGAGGCTTCATGCAGGCTTGCACGTAGAGCATAAGAAAAAGAGCTTCCCACAAACATCTCTAGTAAGCGTAAAAAAAATTCAGAGGCCTCACACAGGTTTACAGGCAGAGCCTAAGAAAAAAAGCGTTCCACAAAGACCCATAGCAAGCGTAAACAAATTCAGAGGCCTCAGGCAGAGCACAAGAAAATGGGCTTCTCACAGACCTGTAGCAAGCATAAAAAAATTACAGATGCTTACAAGCACAGCACAAGAAACTTCCCACAAACATGTGTAGCAAGCACAAAAAAAAATGCAGAGGCTTCACGTAGGCTTACATGGAGATCACAAGAAAAAGGGCCTCGCACAAACAACCGTTGCAAGAGTAAAAAAAATTCAGAAGTGCCTCGGTAAACAAGGAACGCAAAAAATGAAAGCTGCCCTTAACAGAAAGAAGAAAGCAAAGTAAAAAAAAATGAGAACGGGACAACAGTTTCATCAACTAAAGCAATCTAAAACACTCATTAGTTCTCCGAGGTCCTGCTATCGACTGCCGAAGTCCCTGCGTTCAGCTGCCCCAGCCGCCAACTCCCGACTTTTTTCCCGCAGGAACAGTTGCAGCCGTGCATGGCAGAATCGCCTGATGAGCTTCATTTTGATTTCATGGCAGTCGGGCAGCTGAACACATTGGCCCTCTGCAGCCATCCTCGCCGATAGGCCGTCCAGGATGCCTCGTGCATGCATCAAATCCGCAATGAGGCTGCGAAAGACACTTTCACAAATTGCGAAGAGGGCGCGTGCAGCTTCAGAGGGGCAGGTCAGAGCGTCAGGGACATAACTCTTTAGCCTGAGGAGGCTATTTGCAGGTGCCATGGGGACTTGAACAGCTGCAGCACACGTGTCACATGTAGCATTATTTTTTACAACTCTTCGTACCACATACCCGCGTAATAGTCAAAGCTATTCTCCTCAGGTTGTGACATGGTGAGTTCTACCTTTTCAAGAAAAATGTCGGTGGGCACAGCAGGTTGTACATCCAAGTCTGCGAGGTCAGCCAGGTAAAAGGAGGCATCGTCCAGTTCGTAGAACCCTGCCTTGGACGCCTTCAGGTACTGACAGTGTGTGATGATTTTCAAGGTCATCTTAAACTCCAAGAAGCTGGGATAGGGTTGCCCTGTCGCACTACCGAAAACAAGTTTTCATGGCAGTCCTGCGTGAATCTGGATGTGAGCACAAATGAAAAAGAATGTCTCTCAATGAGACTTTGCTCCAGGTCCAGAATGGACTTGGTAGAGAGGATTACCCCCGCCTGCACTGGCTTGAACGCCCCATCCCCAATAGTGAGGTGGAGAAAAAGATCCTTAAATTTGACCAGAAAGTCAAGGGTGTTCTTGTAGCAGGCCTCATTTTGCCTGCTGATCGCAAGGACTGGGTGCCTGCTGCTCATAAGATCAAACCATTTGTTGACCTGTTCCAAGAACCAAGCCGTGGTGAGGAAGTTGGTGCTCCAGCCATGATTCTCCACCAGGAAGCGCAGGGCAGTGGCCGTGGAGTGACTGAGGACCCGTAGGGCAGTGCTCACCTACAAACACAGAACTGCTTTAGATCATCAAGTGTATGCAATGTTTGGTAAACTGGACTGAAGGAATCATTGATTTGAAACTTCCCCCTCAGTCAATAAAAGAACAGCATGGGCACTAAACGAAGAAAAGGCTGTAACTTCCATTCCTGTTGTCCATACGAATGGTTTTTGCTGTTTTTTACGAGTTTTTGCCACTCTCTTAAAGTTGGCAGTTCCACTTCATGAGCAAAGGTGATGAATGCCAGCACTGAAGTAAAGTACACTCCATGGTTACTTTGGTAGCTGTGCATTGCTAAAAGTGTCACCGACTCCGATTTGTGAACCACTGACTGATTTTGTTGAAAACACTTTAAGGGAAGCTAAAGAGGTTCTCCAAAAAAAATGAGTTAGAGGTAAATTCTTCCGTATTTGTATCCTGCAAATTTGAATATGCACTATTTGCTCAAGAAGTATCACCCAACGCAAAGAAATATTTAAAAAATTCACTCGGCATGATGTCACGTCAAGAACTTTCACCTGGCCACCGAAGCTCAAGCACCATCTCTCGTGCAGTGTTCCGGCACATGTGACCAGCCTTGCCCAATGCAGCGCTTTTTTTATTCTCGTGAAATGGTGTGTCATCTGCTACAGACGCCTAGTTCCCGCTACGATCTTTCACACCTGACCTACATCCGCTAAATCTTTTATGAAAGTTTATAGGTGTATTAAACTTACGTCAAAACAAACAGGCGAGCGAAAATCGTGAGCATGAGGAGAATCGCACACAATTTGTCGACCACTCAAATAAGCTTGCAATAGCTGCAGAGATTCCGAGGATCCTTGTTGCGACGCTGCTGTCTCTCAGAAATTTCCTCCTAGCTTCTTACACCTCGGGAGGGCGGGGCTTCAGCGCTATGGTCAAAATGCTTTGATGGCTACTCCGGGCCTCAAATTGACAAATAATTTTAATATTCGTGATACTGGAGGCCATATGAAGATGATGCAAGTGTTTTTTAAAGGTACAAAACCGCTTTAGTTTCCCCTTAAGCAGGCATGTGCGAATAACGAATTTTATGTTTCAAGCGAATAAGAAGCTAATAGTGACTTGGGTCGAATAATTTCGAATCGCATATTGAATACTTGCTGTGCCTTTCTGATACTGCCATTGCGCTCAGCTTCCGCCATCTTGACAGTGTTGATGTCAAGATGGCGGAAAGTAGCTTAGCTTAATGGAAGCTAACGTAAGTTAGCTTGCAGTCGTGTGTAACTAGCTTAGCTAGCTACAAACAAGCTAAGCTACATGCTAACTTAGCTTAGCACTCTTACCTTAGTACACATTTTTCAAAACATTATAGTATTTGAGTGATGGATGAGTGTGAACGAGTATGAATAAAAAGTCATTTTAGATATGATATAAAGACTATCATACCTAAAACACCTAATATCAAGGGGCACACAGTAATCCACTGAAATGAGGTTAGACAAGAGTAATATTGAGTATGTTTTGTTCACGTTCTCAAGGATGTGCGTAAATTCTGCAGTTGTTAATCGAAGCAACAAATGAAGCTTGTCATTTAGTTCTCCTTGTCAACAGCATTTTTCCTGTAGAGATAGCTTTCTAGTGCACAAACTCAGCATGTGAGCAATGATTATACTTTGTAAAGGAAAATCTAGCTGGTTTCATTTAGGTTATTCTCAAGTATCTGCCTACCCACTGCCAAGGCTCAGTTAATTCTGATCTAAATTACTGAATGACTCTCGCTTCAAATAAATCAAGCCCTACATAAATATTGTAAGTAGATGAGAGATTTGTCAGTCCTCTTGCTATACCCAAATATTCGTTTTAAATCTTAGACTAAAGAAATGATGAGCAATGATGCACACTGCTTGACGGGACCTCAATTGTAGAGTAACACATATTCATGGTAAAAGCCAGTTTTTTTTTTTTGCCTTGAGGTAAGCACTTATATTGACCAGGAACATGAACAATCATTACGCTACATTACAATGTTTTCCTGAATTCGTCGCACACGCGCGTGACCTCTTCTTCTCTGGAGGTGTGCCTTCCACTCAATGCACAATCGCAGTGCCTGCGAAATACGCACAATCACGGTGTTTTCTCTGTAAGTGTCGCTTCTGCACAGCACACCGGTGCTCGTTAAGAAGCGCACTCAACCGCGCTAACTCGCTGCAATCGCGACTTTGCCAGCACTTAGAAACTGTGCACATCACCGAACGAACGGCACGCGGCCAACTCATCGCGAGTCCCAAGGGCAACTGATAAGAGCGCTAGAGCGATCTCGACATCACAGGACACAGGACACACACAATTGGTAGGTGAGATGATGACGTTTTATTCTAGTAGGGCCGCGCCAATCACGGGGTGCAGATTAGACCTACCTTCCACTACATTAATGGGACGCTTAGTACCTGGGAATAATGACTAGAATGACGTCACGTGAGAACTGTGTATAGCCATAGGCTGGGGATGGCAACATGTGGAGCATGTGCTGAGCTGTAAACAATGTTTAATTTTGGCCATTCGTGTGCAGAGATTAGTCATGAGCTGCCCAAATGTTTGCCGAGGTACTTATTGTCACGAACCCAAGTCAAGTGTTCATGCAGTGCTCGTATGGAATCCATAAGCCTCATTCGACCATCATCACCACAGGCTGCTCTCCTAGACACCGTCAGCATAATTACCTCCATGGTCGCATCAGCAAGGTTACAAAAATTGGGAGTGAAGGAAACACTCCCCCTCTAAACTTGAATTCACATCTCGACGCGTGCAAGATACTGAGGTCAAACTAGTGCTGTATGCCTGCGATGAGAGAATCCTTCCAACACAATATCAATAATCTACCCCTTCATACCACACTGCAACTAAGTGAAAAAGGAACCATGACACCAACTTATCATTTAAAAATAAATTGTGTAAAATACAAAAACACTTCAGTTACTATCAAGGATATTATATCTGCAAATAATCAACAGGGAGCTTTGAAGCATTTGAGTAGCCTGACAACAAACTTGCCTTCAAGCCGCCGCCCCAGAGTTCTTTCTAGACGACGGCCATGGGAAGCTCCCCTCCAGTAGCAAGTCGTAGCCCAAGCTGCCACATGCAAATCGCATCTGCAGCAACTTCTTCACCGTCTCATTAGACCACTTGGACCCCCTGTTGCTGGATCTCGATAGAGCTGCCAGTTGGTCCGCAGTGAAGAACTTGTGCAAGTGAGACCGGAATGTCGCTTCCCTTGTCTTTTGTAAGGCAGCCTGCCTCACCAAGCGATGATTCTCGTTCTCCAGCTGCTTGATCTTCCGGCTCATCTGAAGAAAGACATCTTCATTGAGCCTAGGTGGAACGGGTGATGGAGAAAGAGGCTGTAGGGTTCGCTCAGAGGTCTTGGCCGCTGGTTGCCACAAACACGGTACAAGAATTGGGTGTTGCCCACCTCATGAGATCACTCCAAGCAGTGCAAGAACCATGACACATACCCAGCTGGTGGAGGCCGCCGACACCAAGGTGTCGAGGGCAGCTGCGCTGGCCAGGCCGCGCTGGTTGTCACTAATCACCTGCAGCGAAGGGTGCGGTGGTATTGCTACACGGGGGTACAGAGGACCCTGGAAGATGCGTACGAAGCACGCCCCGCTGGTGGTGGGGAGCGGCTGCGTTAGCAGGCCGCCCTGCAGGGCCGCTCCAGAGGTCCTGGCTGCTGGTTGCTGCAAACACGGTATGAGAATCGGGTGATTCCCACCTCACAAGATCACTCCAAGCCGTGCAAGAACCACATACCCAGCTGGTGGAGTGTGCCGACACCAAGGTGCCGCGGGCAGCTGAGCTGGCCTGGCCGCGCTGGTTGTCACTGGTCACCTGCGGCGAAGAGCGTGGTGGTATTGCTACACGGGGGTACGCAGGACCCTGGAAGATGCTTACGAAGCACGCCCCGCTGGTGGTGGGGAGCGGCTGCGTCAGCAGGCCGACCTGCAGGGTCGCTCCGGAGGTCCTGGCCGCTGGTTGCTGCAAACACGGTACGAGAATCCTCGTTTTGCAGAAATATGGGTTCGAGAATAAATGGATTTGTCGCCACTTCTCTCTTCATGCTGGCCGAGCGGAGAGGGACGAAGACTTCTTTGTATTTACCTCGGGGTGAAAGATAATCCTCAAGGGGGACAAAAGTGGTTTTGGGGGAGCTCTATCTAAGTCACTGCGACACAATAAGCCAACGGGACGCGGTGGACGTGCCTGCGGCCAGGGAACTCTCGTCTTTTAGCCATGCACTCTCGAACCACTAATTCTGCAAATGGTCCATTGGGTGTTGCCCACCTCACGAGATCACTCCAAGCCATGCAAGAACCATGACAGATACTTAGCTGGTGAGGCTGTCATAACATTACAAGGCAGCTGAGAGTGATGAATGCCTCATGCATTAACTTAATAGAAGCAACAGAATATGAGTTATTGGGTTTTGACTTACATTTCCATGAGGCGGGGTTTTGTGCTGCGTCAGGCTGCAACACTGAATGATGGTGTCTCATGCACTCTTGCACAAGGACCACTCCGATTTAAAAAAAAAAAAGTCTCTGACATGGAACAGAGATGTCAACAGCCTACCAAGTCCACATTATTATAGGTCACCTGTGCCTCTTTTAAATCATATCAGTAAAAACATCTTAACACAAGATAAATTATTGCTTTTAATTCACTCTCATAATCTAGGTAAATACCAAAAGAACAAAAATCTCACTTATCCTCGTTACACGCACTCACTTGACTTTCAGAATGCAGAAACAAGTTCGGAACAGCTGTGGCTTTTAGCCTCCTCCAGCCGTCAGAGCACCTCGTCTGGAACTGGGAGGGCTCGAAGTGGTCCTGCAGCGAATAACGTTTTGGTAGACGTCAAAACTGTGTATTCAGCCGCTCGCGTCACAGTACAGTTATTCCGCTGACGAGAGGCTCACGCTTTCAAAATACGCGATCTTACAAATCCATCATCGCACGACCGCCACAGGCCTGAACCACTCGTCTTTCTGCGGTAAAGCGAAAGCGCACAGGACGCTTCCACGGCAGTAGAGAAT